TTAGGCACGCGGGTTGAGTTGAGTGCAGCATTTCATCCACAGACAAACAGACAGTTAGAGCGCACTATTCAGATACTGAAAGATATGCTTCGCTCTTATGTTATAGACTTTGGAGGATCTTGGGATCAGTTCTTGCCACTTGTGGAGTTTGCCTATAATAACAGCTACCAGTCGAGCATTCAGATGGCTCCATATAAAGCATTATATGGGAGAAGGTGTCATTCGCCAATTGGCTGTTTTGAATCGGGAGAATCTCGGTTGTTGGGTACCAATTTGGTACAGGATGCCTTGGATAAGGTCAAGATTATTCAGGATCGACTTCGCACAGCTCAGTCAAGGCAAAAGAGTTATGCCGACCGTAAAGTTTGTGATATTGCATTCATGGTTGGAGAAAGAGTATTGCTCCGGGTTTCACCTATGAAAGGTGTAATGAGATTCAGAAAGAAGGGCAAGTTGAGCCCTAAGTATATTGGACCCTTTGAAATTCTTGAAAGGGTAGATGAAGTAGCCTACATGCTTGCATTACCACCTAATTTATCAGCAGTTCATCCGATGTTCCATGTGTCTATGCTCCGAAAATATCATGGTGATCCGTCCGGTGTATTGGATTTCAGCTCAGTCCAATTGGACAAAGATTTGACTTATGAAGAGGAGTCGGTAACTATTCTAGCTCGGCAGGTCTGACAGTTGAGGTCTAAGAGTTATCCTTCAGTTCGGGTGCAATGGAGAGGTCAGTTGGTAGAAGCATCTACCTGGGAGTCCGAGTCGGACATGCGAAGTAAATATTCACATCTTTTCACCAGCTAAGGTTCTTTTCTAATTCCGTTCGAGGACGAACGTTTGTTTTAGAGATGGAGAATGTGATGACCCAAAATGTCATCTTTAATTTAAACATTTATTTATGTGTTCTAAGACCTCAAAAAGTACTATTTATCATCCTCGACTTGCGTGCGCAACCCGTAAATTTTTTTGGAAAGTTTTTATATTAAAAAATTGATTAAAATGTGAAATAGAGCTTTAAAACTCACTTAAGTGGACTTCGGTCAACATTTTGATCAAACGGACCTGGATCAGTGTTCTGATGATTCCAATAGCTCTGGTGATTTTGGACTTAGGAGCGTATCCGAAAAATTATTTAGAAGTCCGTAGTTAAAATTAGGCTTGAAATGGCTAAAATAGAAATTTAAGTTTGAAAGTTTGACCGGGGAGTTGACTTTTTAATATCGGGATCAGAATCCGATTCTAAAAATTTGAATAGGTCAATTATGTTATTTATGACTTGTGTGCAAAATTTGAGATCAGCCGGACTTGATTTGATAGTTTCGGCATCGAATGTAAAAGTTAAAAATTCTTAAGTTCCTTAGGCTTGAATTGTGGTATGATTCGTGGTTTCAGCGTCGTTTGATGTGATTTGAGATTTTGACTAAGTTTGTATGATATTTTAGGACTTGTTGGTGTATTTGGTTGAGGTCCCGGGCCTCGGGCGAGTTTCGGATGGTTAACGGGTTGAATTTTGGACTTAGAACTTTGCCGGAATTTTTCTGATGCACTGTCTGGTTTCCTTCTTCGCGTTCATGAGAGAGGTCTCGCGTTCGCGAAGAGGAACTGGAGGCAGGCAAACTTTACTCTTCGCGTTCGCGAAGAGGGGACCGTGTTCGCGAAGGGTAAATGGTAGTGTTCATCGCGAACGCGTGGTGGTGTTTGCGTTCGCGTAGAAGGGGCGGGGCCTGGCTGGGCACCAAGTGATAAGGATTCGCGTTCGTGAAGGGGGGACCGTGTCCGCGAAGGCCAAGTTTGGCAAGGCATCGCATTCCCGAGATTGCCCTCGCGTTCGCGAAGAAGAAATCTGGGGCAGCACAAAAATGTGCTTCGCGAACGCGAGGGTGCTGTCGCGTTCGTGAAGAAGAAATCCCTGGACCAGCAGAACTTAAGTTCTGGAAATGGGATTTCGTCCCATTTTTCATTATTCACGATTTTGAGCTCGGATAAGGCAATTTTTGGGCAATTTTCAAGGGAAAATATTGGGGTAAGTGTTCCTTATCCTATATTGATTATATTTCATGATTCCATACTCATTTACATCATGAATCCGTGAATTTATAGAAGAAAAATCAAATTTTTATAAAATCTTCCAAAAATGTAAAATGAAGATTTGAAGATCAGTCCAATGTCGAAATTCGATAATTTTTATATGGTTGAACTCGTAACGGAACAGGTGTTCGAATTTCGTGAGTTTTTCCGGGATTCGAGACGTGGGTCCCACTGTCGATTTTTAAAATAAATTTCGAATTTTAATTCGAAAAATTAGTAGATTCACATGGAATTAATTCCTACGATTTGTGTTGAGTATATTGAATTGTTTGTGACTATATTTGAAGCTTTCGGACACAAATTCGCGAGGCAAAGGTTTATTGGAATCTTGAAATTGGTTGCGAAGCGAGGTAAGTGTTGTAGTTAACCTTGACTTGAGAGAATAGAACTCTTGAATTATTGTTATGTGAAATTCATGTGAACGGCGTATAGGCGAGGTGACGAATGTCTATACGTCATCAAATTAATTGTTTGCATAATTATTTAAAAATCATAAATCGTTTTAAATCATGAATTAATTATTATATTAATTATTTCTCTCATATTCCTTGCTCAATATTATGCCTTAAATCCATGCTATGATTGCTTCATCCTTATTTGATTTATGTGACTTAATTGCTACTTGAAATTTAGCATACTAATTATTAAATTGCCTATTTTCTCCTTAATTTTTACAATTAATTGCTACATGTCATCACTTATTTCTAAATAGTTCATTATTATTGTATGTTTGTTGTCTTATAATTTTATATTTATTATTGCATTTATTAGAGTAATTTTTTTTATAAGATTTGGTAAATTATATTGGAGGAGCGGGTTGCACACCGCAACAGAATTGATTAAAAAGATATATTGAGGATCGAGTTGCACGCCGCAACAATAAGATCGGATTGCACGCCACAACGGAATTGAATATGAATACATTATGGGATCGGGTTGCATGCCGCAACGGAAACTGACTGAAATAATAATTGGTTATGACTGTCGAGTTGACTTCAGCTGTTGAATGAGTTGCCTGTTTTATTTCTAGTATTGTTGTTATTATTATTATTGCATACAGGTTAATGTAAGTGACATGCCTTAGCCTCGTCACTACTTCGTCGAGGTTAGGCTCGGCACTTACTGGGTACATGGGGTCAGTTGTACTCATATTACACTCTACACTTCTTGTGCAGATACCGGAGTTGGTCCCAGTGGCGCACAGTAGATTTGCTCGGATTCAGCTATTCGCAGGAGACTTGAGGTATAACTACATGGCATTCGCAGTTCTGAAGTCTCCTTCCACTTTGTCGTAACTGTGTATTTCTTTCACACAACTTCATTTTTATTCAGATCTTTATTTGTATTATTCTAGTAGCTCGTGCACTTGTGACATCAGTTCTGGGATGGTATTTAGACATCGCTATTATTATGGATTATTCACTTTATTTCAGACTTTATTTTCGTATATGTTTCTTTGTTACTAATTAATTTTAAAATTATTTAAAAATGACTAATATTATTCTAACGTTGGCTTGCCTAGCAAGTGAAATATTATGCGCCATCACGGTCCCGAAGGTGAGAATTTCGGGTCGTGACACCGATTCCATAACTTCCATAGTTCTGGCTCAAAATCCTCTTTTGAGATCGTGCCGTCCCCAAAACCGAGTTTATTTTTCCCAAGTAGTGACAATTTCATAGCTCGACTCCAAATCATGTAATTATCCATGCCGGTCAATAAAAAATCTATGGACAACGATCCTGGGCCATCAGACTGGTAGAGATAGAGTGGGTGATTATGGTCAATCACCATCGGTCCTCCACCGGAAATACCGCCAGTAACTCCGTTTTCCTTATCGGCAACATCATCTTCAATCGCCATGAAAATAATAAGTAATTAGGGTTTCTGCCACAAAAAGAGCTGAATTCCTCGATTTAACCAGAAATCTGCAAAAAATCCCTCAATTCAGCTAATTAGGACTCTGATACCATGTTAACTTTCACTGATTTATACTGATTATGAAGTGTAATCCACAACTGAATGAATTGAGAAGACGAAATTGAAAGCAGAAGAAAGGTAAAGAACAGAGAGAACAATATGATTACTTCTCTGCTTAGCAATGTCGGTCATTACTAACAAAATGAATGTATACATATACTTATACTAATATTTATTGACTCCTAATAGATGACCGTTGTAAATAAGAAAAATGACATAATTACTCCTGTAGCTAACTAATGATCAGGGAATTATAGTGCAATTAACTAACTCCTTTACAAAACCCGATTTACTTTGATGCGATTGACTTTTTCATATATCTTAATTTAATGGAAAGAATCTGTGATTATCACACCTTATTTAGAGAAGATCTTTTAAAAGTAAGGAGGCATCGCCTAAAACATCTTAATAACTTCCTTTTCACCGCATAAAATAAGTGTGTAAACCGTAGTAGTGTGTAAACCAGCAAAAGAACAACCATATAAAGAAAAATATGTGAAATTATATTTAAGCCGCTCCCAAAAATAATAGCCGATAAAATGTATATTTTTCATACATTATGTGTATGTATTATATACGAAAAAGATACATATTTTATATACTTTTTGACAAATGAATACAATTAGTTTCGGTCAACCTGCCAATTTTATATTTTGCCCTAAAAATATACCCAACAAAAAGAGACTTTGTATGTAAAAAAAAAAAAAAAAAAAATGGCTTGCTTTAATTACACATGAACAGCCAATGGTTTGCTTTAATTTATTCCTCTAATACGTATATTGTCGTTGACAGAGAATTTGAATCAAGCAACTCACATCTCCAAATAGAAGAGGAAATATCGTGTGAAATTCCAATTGAACAACAAACTGCGCAGAGAATTGAAAACTCTAATTNATATATATATATATATATATATATATATATGTCACTCATTTGCACATAATTCTACACACAGAGAGAATTTAACTTACATTTCTTCAATAGTTTAGTCCATAAAGCAATAGATATGGCTCGGTTTCTTGTGTTCCTTGCTTTAGCCCTTGTAATAATTTCAAAGAAGGGCGCGTTGGGTGCTCCTCCTTCCTGTCCAACAGTTACAACGCAGCTGGCTCCTTGTCTATCGTACATTCAAGGTGGAGGTGATCCATCTGTACCTTGCTGCACTGGTATAAATAACATATATGAACTTGCTAAAACCAAAGAAGACCGAGTCGCTATCTGCAACTGCTTAAAAACCGCATTTACTCATGCTGGAAATGTCAATCCCACTCTCGTAGCTCAACTCCCCAAGAAATGTGGCATTTCTTTTAATATGCCTCCTATTGATAAAAACTACGACTGTAACACGTAAGTTTATATTACCTCTCAATTTTTATTTCCACCCAATTTGGTGCAGATCGACTGCTTGTTTAATCTAACTTATTATTTTTATTACATGCATGCAGGATTTCTATGTACTGATGAATGGGTAGTGAATCTCGGAAGCTGCTCAAATTTATGAATAAAACATATATAGATGTTCATCTCATGTCTGAAATCTGAAAGCAATTTGATCCACTGTAAACTTCAAATGTATGCAGACGGTTAAATGTTGAATTATGATATATATAAATTTGGTTAATGCCTTTGTTTTTGGTAGTCTTAGACCAAGTTCACCAAGAGAGACGGTTCATATGAGCTTTTTCATGGAAAATAAATTATCATTATATGGAAAATATTGGAAGTTCTTTAATAAATAAACACTAGAAAATGACTTTTTTATGAAAAATTGAAAAATAATTTCTATCGTACCAAAATAATCTCATGAATGCCGACTTGTGACACTGTATTATCATCAAAAAACATATGGATATTTGGGTTAAAGACGACGACATGTGTAAATAAATCATCTTCTAGATCATGATATTGCCATCCAAAACTGCTTGTGTAATCTTGAGGAGAGATGTGACAATAATCTAACATTTATAATTCTATGGATTAATTAGGTTGTTAGGGCAGAGTGACATATATTGGCAAAAATTATTCTCATCGATTGCTTCTCTCATATTCGACCACCCTGGTGTGCTAACTGTTTAATTTTTTTTTTTAATTAATCTTTTTGTCTTGATTCTTGAATAGTCTTTTTCTAATTCCGTTATTTTAAAAAAATTAAAAAAACTTTTCAAGCCCATATACGACATTAATAATATCTTTCAGAATTCCATGGATAAAAATATTCATCGTCCTTCTATTAATCAATTTTTAAATCAAGGTATCATCCAAAAACAAGCGTAAGATTCCAACTTGATAGTGCGAATTAGGTGGAGGATAAGCTTTTGTTTCAACGATATACCCGCGTGAAATATTTATTTTTTTTAAATTCCTGTCTTTATGGAATTTGGGTTGTCAACATCGAATCTTTTGACCAAATGTTCCATGAGTTAATTATTTAATGCATTTCCTTTTGGATAACTACTGCTTCGAACGTTCTTTAATTTCTTCATTTACTGTATTTGCATTTTGCACTGAACTATTACTGTAGCGGGTTTGGTCAAATTTCTTTTTGGTCAAAATATTTTTTTTTTTTTTTAAAGTTAAGTTATTTGACCAAACTTTTAGAGGTAAAAAAGTATTTTTGGATAAAAATAAAGCAGTTTTTGAGAAAAAGAATAGCTTGTTTGGCCAAAATTCTCCAAAGCCAAAAATATTTTTTTTTAAAAATATTTTTTTCAAAGTTGAAGTGTTTCACCAAACTTTTAGAATAAAAAAAAAATATTTTTAAGCAGAAGCAGAAAAATAGTTAATTAGCCAAACACAAATTACTTCTTATCAACATTTTTTTTTTAAAGTTAGAATCTTAGCCAAAGAGGCTGTAATGCCATAATAATTAGATCGGTCGAATTACTACTGTATCAACATGGAAGCTCCCTTATTAGGGAAACATAAACAATTTCTTTTTTTTTTTCACACTTCTATTTGTTTCTTCAGAAACTTTATATTGTAGGACTAGAAAGTCCTTCATTTACCGATCAATTTCAACATCGTCTCAAGATATTATGGTCAATTAAAACCGTTCACTTTATTAAACGTTTGAGCAACTCTTAAACTACCTTATTAGTCTAACCTTGCGATTAAAATTTATAAGTGCTTGGTAGGACCCATAACAGTCCCTTTTTAGCAGCTCCTCATTGACTTACGACTGTACTCCGACCAAATTAGTCTTTGAGAGTTTCAGCTATTAAGAAAAGGACCGAATTTTGACGTGCAATGATCCAACGCTGCTTTATTTATAGCAGCAAAGCAATTTCCAGGAACCTTCTCAATCTATGAAAACACGCCCTTTCTTTCTCTTCTTATATTCCTCAGTCGCACTCAAGCAAGGTACATTATTATTTCTCCAAATGTAAGTTTCTCTCGACTCCACTTTAATATACCTCAAGGTACATTTTGAAATTTAATATGACACTAGTATTTTGATATTTGAATTTTTTAATTTAGTTATCATTGATTAACTTTCAATTGGAAGAGTAGGTTTCATGCTATATAAGAGCACTGTATACTGGAAGGAGGGAACCGTTCTTGATTGACCATTATTCTCTTTCTAGAAATTAAAGAGAAGTTGAAGTTTCGAGCATACCATAAGGGCAGAAGCTGAAAATGACGATTGTCAATCAAGAAAAATACTTAAGGTTAGTTCGATGACCAGCCTCCTCTACCCTGTGTTTTGCACCTTTGACTTGTGAACTGACAAATTAAAACAATTCTGTTATCAGAAGTAATATTGCATGAATTTTAAGACCTGATGAAATGGCTTCTTGAATTTAGCTATTGTAGTCTGTAGAGTATCTTCTGATATTTTTTCCGTCTTTCGGAAACAGAATCTCTACCTCCCAAGCTAGGGTAAGGTCTGCGTATCCCATTTGTGGGACTCCACTGGATTATTGTTGTTGTTTTATGCTTCTGTTTGCTCTATGTTTGTATTTTGCATAGTATCTTTTGGTTTAAAGTTCAATGTGTACGGTCAAAACCGATTGAGTCAGTCGTACGGACTGGTCGAGGTGATAATACTTCGATCAAAGGGTATCTGCGTGACGACGGGTCGAGATCCGATGTAAGGGTGTCGAGCTTCGAGCTCTAAGACCAATCAACGACAAGCTCGGTATCATTATCGAGCTCATATCCAAATCGAACTACGAGGCAAAGCGGAGATTATCGAAGATGCATAGACCAACCAACACTCACCTCGAATATCAAGACTCCGAGTCAGAGTCGAGCTCGAACCAAGGCCGAGGGCTCGATCCAATACCGAGCTCGAGCCGGTATCGAGCTCACAGACAAGAGCCGTTGCAACCGCACCAGGGGAGAGAATCTTGGCAGGAATCGAGGAAAAGACAATTTATCATGGGTTCTCCACTATATATTTTTTATATAGATAAAGTAGGATCCCTCTACTATAAAGAGGAAAATTCTTGTAAGCATAAAGGGCATTGTAAAAAAAGACAAGAGAGATTAACACTTTTGGGCTCATTTACTTTGCCTTGTTCATCAACATTTCCTTTTTCTCTGCCTTATATTTCATTCCATCTGTCAAAGAATATATATATTTCTATTTCACTCTGCAATTTGTACCAAGTTATATCACGTATCCTTAGAATCATATACAAATTTAACTCTATCCTATTTTTCGGGTAAACATTCAACTTCCATACACTGACAGTTTGAAAGTTTAGAACAATAAAACACCATCATGTCAGCAAAATGATAAATTACAAGTAACTGTAAAATGAAGCTAGTTACCCGGAAAAACAATATAAGCAACCTGTTACAACAGGTTAAATTATACTAATTATGTAAAGTAAAACTACAATGTATGTTAAATCCCTTGCCTTATGATATTAGATAGAAATATCTGTGTTTCTAACTTTCAGAAATAATTAATTTTTCTAGTATCTAATAATATGACCTGTTCTACTCAGGTTTGAGGACTGCAAGTCAGAAGATAATAGGCTGTTTTCAGGCAGAAAATCATCAACCAGCTCATGGATGAGTACTATTAGAAGAGGATTTTCCAATAGAATAAGTAGTTTAAAAAGAAAATCGCTGCACATCCCTTCTCTAAGTGGCAGGCCAAAAGAAGTATCTGCAGGATCATCAAGAAATAAAGTTCTTGATCCTCAGGAGCCTTTTCTTCAATTCTGGAACAAAATATTTGTCTTGGCTTGTATAGTTTCAGTGGCCATTGATCCATTGTTCTTCTACATTTCTGTCGTTGATATCAAGAGGAAATGCCTTGATTTGGACCACTCATTAAAGATCCCTATTTCTGTTCTTCGATCAGTCACCGATCTTTTCTATATATATCATATTATCTTGCAATTTCGAACTGGCTTTATTGCTCCTTCTTCTCGAGTATTTGGTAGGGGTGAGTTGATTGAGGACTCTTCCCTTATAGCCAAGCGATACATCCCTTATTTCATCATTGACATTCTAGCTGTTCTTCCACTTCCACAGGTTTGTGTCTAATTCCTTCAATATGCTTCAAAGCTTATATATATTGGTTACAGATTGATATTAACGTGTATACTTACCCTTATGTTGGTACCAGCTCGTGCTCTTTATCAACGCTCCTAACGCGAATCGTGCCATATCTCTGGTGATGAAAAAACAGTTGGTGATTGTTGTTTTCACACAATATGTTCCAAGAATCTTTAGGATATTTCCGTTATACAAAGAAGTAACAAGGACAACAGGTTTTTTTACTGAAACGGCATGGGCTGGAGCTGCTTTCAACTTATTCCTATTCATGATCGCCAGTAATGTATGTTTCCTTATATCACTCATTTTATATCAATTGTTCTTTAATCTATGGTCAGAATTTGCAGACATTGCTTACCTGTCTTCTGCAAAAATAAATCATCCTTTGTGAGACATATTATTTACTTTAGTAATTAATATCTGAATTACTTATTTATAACTATACTTGCATGTTCTATTCCACTAAGACACTGATTCCTAACGAAACAGGAGATCATTGTTTTTTTTTTGTGTGTGTGTATATATATGTTCTTTTTTCTCTTCACATGTATAATAATATGCACAACTATCGGACCTCAGGTAGTTGGAGCCCTGTGGTATTTGATCACAGTGGAAAGACAAGACAACTGCTGGAGCCAAGTATGTAAGGGTTTTGAAGAATGTGTGTTAGACCACTTATGTTGCGGGCAACAAGGGAAAAATGCTCAATTTCTTAATTCTTCTTGTCGTCTCCTGAAACCGGAAGAAATACAAGAGAATGACTTTGATTTTGGGATATTTCGTGATGCTCTTCAGTCTCGAGTTGTACAAAGAAGAAACTTCTGGTCCAAACTCAGCTATTGCTTCTGGTGGGGGCTGCGAAATTTAAGGTCTGTGCTACTGTTTTTTGTTTTTCATTATCCTTATTAATCATCTTCTAACTGTCTGTCAGCTAAGCAGAACCTTCTGTCTTATGTATCTCAGTTCTCTAGGCCAAGGCCTTAACACAAGCGACTTTCTAGGGGAGATTCTCTTTGCGGTCTTCATCTGCATTCTTGGGCTGATTCTGTTTTCCTTGCTTATTGGCAACATGCAGGTACACGTTGATGGAGCACCTATTCTTAGAGTCCGTTTGGATGGGCTTGTTTTAAGTGACTTTTAAGCCAAAAGTCGTAAGTTAGTAATTCTGGCTTTTGGCTTATTTTTGTCATTTTAGCTTAAAAACAAGTGTTCAAAGGCACTTTTTTACTTTATCCAAACACTACAAAATGGCTTAAAAGCACTTAAAATAAACCAATCCAAACGGATTCTTAGTTCTTACCTTAAGAGTCTTGAATTAAGCTAATCTGTTTTAAGTGAATTTTTTTAACATTCATGGCATCAATATGCATTGAGTTTTAATCTCTTCCTCTTAGTTTTTAATCTATCAAGAAATGAGTAAATCATTAACTTGACTATGTATTTCATTTCTACAGCACTTCAACTTCTTTTATTTTCAAGATTAAGTTGTGGGTTTCCTTTTGCCAAACTAAGAAAAGATGAAAATGCCTTACATTGGAGAGAATTGACGTTAACTAATGTTTCATTAATTGCTGGCTACAGGAATATTTGCAGTCTATCACAGTTAGAGTAGAAGGGATGAGGTTGAGAAGGCGGGATGCAGAACAGTGGATGTCTCACCGCATGCTTCCTGACAACCTTAGAGAGCGCATTCGAAGATATGAGCAGTACAAATGGCAACAAACTAGAGGCGTTGATGAAGATTATCTAATTTGTAACCTTCCCAAAGACTTGAGGAGAGACGTAAAGCGCCATCTCTGCTGGTCTTTGCTCAAAAGAGTGAGTTCCTATTTTTGTTCTCATCATGTCCTTTCTTGCATTCTTGAAACTGATGGCCTTATTTAATCTTCTATATGTTTAGGTACCCATGTTTGAGAAAATGGATGAACAGTTACTGGATGCATTGTGTGATCGACTGAAACCAGCTCTTTTCACAGAGAATAGCTTCATAATTCGAGAAGGAGATCCAGTGAATGAGATGCTTTTTCTGATGAGAGGTACTTTGTTGACTATAACTACCAATGGCGGAAGAACTGGCTTCTTCAACTCTGCATCTCTCACGGCTGGTGATTTCTGTGGAGAGGAGCTTCTTACATGGGCTTTGGATCCCCATGCTTCCTCGACTCTTCCAGCCTCAACTAGAACAGTGCAAGCTGTTATAGATGTTGAAGCTTTTGCTCTCACAGCTGATGATCTCAAGTTTGTTGCCGCCCAATTTAGACACCTTCATAGTAAGCAGATTCGGCATGCTTTTAGGTATGTTGACCAAACCTTGTTCAATTTCAAAGCACAAGTCTTTCTGCCATCAGTTTTCGAGAAGCTCTTAACAATTTCAATGTACTTTTGTCTGTTTTAGGTTCTATTCACAGCACTGGAGGACATGGGCAGCATGTTTTATACAAGCAGCATGGCGCAGACACTACAGGAACAAGCTTGAGAAATCTTTGAGAGAGGAAGAAGATAGACTGCAGGCTGCATTGGAAAATGAGACTGCAAATATACCAAGTCTTGGGGCTACCATTTATGCATCAAGGTTTGCTGCCAACGCATTGCGTGTCTTGCGGCGCAACCACCTAAAGGGTTCCAAATCATCTAGCAGAGTAAGTCCCTTACTGCTTCAGAAGCCAGCTGAACCTGATTTTAGCTCCTAAAGCTAGAATTAGGAATATTGGAAAGAGGCTCATCTAAGACCTGGCTGTTGCAGTTTGGTTTTACTGTTAGTTATTCAGATAGAAGAGTCTGCTGTATCTCTGTAAGATTAGAATCCCTGAATATAACTGGCATTTTACCCCTGCCTTGTAAATTGTAGTATTCTACTAAACTATGGGTTTCAATAGATGTTGGCTATTTTACATGTCTCGCTCTAGTCAAATTTGAACTCTGAAGTCGAGATTTAGAGTTTATGAGAGTTAGCAGAGTCAGAAAGAGAGAAAATTATCAAATTTACACGATTTTGCACGCGTGCGCACACAGATGTGTGTGTATAAAGGTGGATGTGAATCTTGTTATCGGCCCGTGATCTTTTGCTTCTCATCTTGTATTCCAAAAAATAAGGAAGCGTATTAAAAAAGAAATTGACCTTGAAAACTTTGTTTTTCGTACTAAAAATATTCTCTTGATTGTGCAAGATTTCGTATAGGTGGATTTTTGTTTTTGAGAAAAAGAAGAAGCAAAAAGTTTTGCATATTCTAGCCTGGTTGAATTCCTTTCTCGCAGCGGAAATGTCAACAATTGAATCCAGTATATTGTAATATGGCCAATTTTTCATGACATTTGTCATGACATAATATCTATTATAACAAATTTGTGGTTCATGACATTTGCCATGACATAATACCCATTATAACAAATTTGTGGATCATGACATTTGCCATGACATAATATCCATTATTAGGCCAAGGATTTCTTGCTATAAATAGAGGAGTTTCTCCTCATTTGCAAACACACCAATTCAAGAGTTTTTCATTCTTGTCTTTCTTTCTCTTCCTTTATTTCATTATAGAGTATTTTGTAAGAAAGTGAGTGTTGGGAAATACTTGTGTGAACCCTTTCTTTGGAGTGATCTTGTGAGGTTATTCTCTTGGGGTATTTGGGATTAATTAGAGTATTTACTCTAATTTTGTACTCTCTTTTGTACTCTTGTTGGTATAGTGAAATTGCTCCTCTCCGCTTGTGGACGTAGGTCACCTTGACCGAACCACGTTAAATTTGTGTCTACTTTATATTCTTTAATTGCCGTTATTATCAACTTCCATTGTCTTTGTTATTGTCATTATACCGTTGTTTGGCTAAATTCCGCACTACCCGGGTTCCCGATCCTAACAAATTGGTATCAGAGCCAGATCTAACCGGGTTAGTTTAAATAGCCAAAATGACTCTAACAAAGTCTTATGTTGAGAAATTTGACCGAAGTGCAAACTTCGGAATGTGGCAATTAAAGATGGAAGCTATCCTAATTCAGGATGGCTTAGATTTGGCACTACAAGGAAAGGAGAATATGTAGGATAAAATGACGGACGAGGAGTTTGCTGTCATAGACAAAAAGGTAAAAGCATATATTATTTTAAATCTTTCAAATGAGGTTTTGCGTGAAGTTGCAGCAGAAAGCTCAGCCAAAGGCATATGGGAAAAGCTTAAAACCCTATATATGAAAAGAACAGTAGAAAACAGGCTTTACCTAAAGCAAAAACTCTACACTTTTCGTATGGCTGAAGGTACCTCTATACTTACTCATCTTGATACTTTTGATTCTCTTCTTATGGATTTAAGTAACATAGATGCTGAAATCAAAGATGAGGATCAAGCTGTGTTATTGCTTGTTTCCTTACCCCAGTCGTTTAAACATATAAGAGATACTATGCTTTATGGAAAGGATAATATCTCTTATAAAGATATCAAATCTATTTTGAAATCAAAAGAACAAATAGATAGAGATATTACTGGGGAAACTAGTGGGAACCAAGGGGAAGGCTTATTCATAAGAGGTAGATCCAATAAGAAAGATTCAAGTAGTGAGAAACCTAAATCAAGGTCAAAATCCAGATACAGAAATGTCATGTGCAAATATTGTCATAAGAAAGGTCACATTATTTCTGAATGCTTTAAATTGAAAAACAAAGAAAAGCATACAGAAAAGAAAAATGAGCACAAAAATACTGACACTGCCGAAGCAAGTGTAGCTGCTGATGAGACTGAGGGAACTATTTTTTTAGCAACTAATAATAGTTTCAGATCTAATAATGAGTGAATTTTAGATTCGGGTTGTTCTTATCATATGTGTCCCAGTCGGAATTTATTTACCACATATGAATCAATTGGAGGTGGAGTTATCTTGATGGGCAACAATGCTGCCTGCAAAGTTATTGGAAAAGGTACAGTCCGAATCAAAATGCACGATGGTGTGGTGAGAACTCTCACCGATGTTAGACATGTTCCTGACTTGAAGAAAAATCTCATCTCTTTGGGCACTCTAGAATCTCTTGGGTGCAAGTACACAGGTGAAGGTGGAGTTCTGAAAATTTCTCATGGTGCTCTTGTGATCATGAAAGCACGCAGATCTGGTACGTTGTATACTCTTTTGGGATCTACTGTTACAGGTGCTGCTGCAGTTTCAATATCAGATAAATCAGATTCTGACATCACCAAATTGTGGCATATGCGATTGGGGCATATGAGTGAAAAAGGTCTTTCCATCCTCAGTAAAAGAGGTCTCTTATGTGGCCAAAGTACCGAAAATATGGAGTTCTGTGAACATTGTGTGTTCGGGAAGCAGAAAAGAGTCAGCTTCAAATCTCCAGCGATTCATAGAACAAAAGGTACTTTGGATTACATTCATTCAGATCTTTGGGGTCCTTCACGTACCCCATCAAAAGGTGGTGCCAGGTATATGTTAACTTTTATTGATGATTATTCAAGGAAAGTTTGGGTTTATTTCCTGAAAAATAAAAGTGATGTTTTCTTAAATTTCAAACAATGGAAAGTTTTGATTGAGAAGCAAACAGGAAAACATGTTAAGCGGCTTAGAACAGATAATGGCTTGGAATTTTGTAATGATGAATTCAACGAATTTTGCAAGAATGAAGGAATTGCTCGACATCGTACTGTGAGAATGACACCTCAGCAAAATGGTATGGCAGAAAGGATGAATAGAACTCTTTTGGAAAGGGATCGTTGCATGATTTCAAATGCTGGGTTGACAAATGCCTTTTGGGCAGAAGCTATCTCTACAGCTTGTTATATTGTCAACCGAGCTCTTTATGCACCTTTGAACTTTAAGACTCCAGAGGAGATGTGGTCAGGTACTTCTGCTAATTATTCTGATTTAAAGATATTTGGTTTCCCTGCATACATGCATGTAAATGATGGAAAATTAGAGCCAAGGGCTAAAAAGTGCATTTTCCTTGGGTATGCATCTGGGGTGAAAGGATACCGACTATGGTATCCTGATCCCATGGCACCAAAATTTATAATTAGCAGAGATGTAACCTTTGATGAATCCTCTATGTTACATTCTAGAAAAGAGTCTTCTAGTTCTTGTAATACAGATAAAGGAAAGAGTACACAGAACCAGGTGGAGATTGAGATTGGCATTCCTTCTGAGCCAAGCTCATCAACTTTAGAGCAAAATACAGTTGAAACTCCTGAAGTTGAGACAGAAGCTGAAATTCCTGAAGTTGAAACTCCTGAAGTTGTACCAGAAGAAGAGGAGTATTCTATAGCCAAACATAGACTAAGAAGAGAAGGTAAACAACCATTAAGGTTTGGAGATTATGTTGCATTTGCTTTTTCAGTTGCACAGGAAACTGAAGAAATTGGAGAACCATCAAAATATTTAGAAGCAATTTCTGGTGCTGACTCAGCCAAATAGCTGATTGCAACGAATGAAGAAATTGAATCTCTCCACGAGAATGGTACTTGATCTCTTGTGAAGCCGCCATCAGGAGAAAGAATTGTTGGTTGCAAATGGGTCTTTAAGAAAAAGGATGGCATTCCAAGGGTTGAAAATGCAAGGTATAAGGCACGATTAGTTGCAAAGGGCTATAGTCAGGTACAAGAAGTTGATTTTAATGATATTTTCTCATCTGTTGTTAAACATAGCTCTATTCGTGTCTTGCTTGCCTTCGTTGCCATGTATGATTTGGAATTAGAACAACTTGATGTTAAGACAGCTTTCTTACATGGCGAACTTGAGGAACAAATATACATGCATCAACCCGAAGGATTTGAAATTGAAGGAAAAGAAGATCATGTTTGCTTGTTGAAGAAATCCTTGTACGGATTAAAGCAGTCTCCAAGATAATGGTATAAAAGGTTTGATTCCTTTATGTTGGGTCATGGTTATTCGAGGAGCATGTATGATAGTTGTGTTTACTTTCGGAAGTTAAATGATAGTTTATTTGTGTACCTATTATTAAATGTTGATGACATGCTCATTGCTGCTAAGGATTTAACAGAAATTCACAACTTGAAGAGTCAGCTGAAAAGTGAATTTGAGATGAAAGATTTGGGAGCAGCTAAGAAAATCCTTGGCATGGAGATCAAAAGAGATCGAAAAGCCAACAGGCTATTTCTGACCCAGAAGAAGTACTTGGAGAAAGTCTTGGAGAGGTTTGGCATGAAAGATGCTAAACCAGTTAGTACCCCTCTTGCTGCTCATTTTAAGTTATCAGCTGCTCAGTTCCCGCAGTCAGAGGAAGAAGAGAGGTACATGGCACAGGTTCCTTATTCCAGTGCAGTCGGCAGTATTATGTATGCAATGGTTTGTACACGTCCAGACATTTCACAAGCAGTGAGCGTGATAAGCCAGTATATGGCTTGCCCTGGTAAAGCACATTGGCATGCTGTGAAATGGATTCTCAGATACTTGTGAGGTACTTTAAACACATGTTTGGAGTTTGGGAGAAATACTAACACTTTGGTTGGTTTTGTAGACTCAGATTATGCAGGTGATCTTGACAAAAGAAGATCACTGACAGGCTATTTATTTTGCATCGGTGGTCGCGCTATTAGTTGGAAAGCTACATTACAACATGTAGTAGCTTTATCTACTACCGAAGAAGAATATATGACAGTGACTGAGGCGATCAAAAAAGCTTTATAGTTAAAGGGTCTATTTGAGGAACTCAGTTTACACCAAAGTGGTATTACCATTTTCTGTGATAGTCAAAGTATCATTCACTTGACTAAAGATCAAATGTATCATGAGAGGACGAAGCACATTGATATAAAGTATCATTTCATCCGAGAAACCATTGCTGAAAGAAAAGTCTCTGTTCAGAAGATCAACACTAGAGACAATCCTGCTGACATGTTCACAAAACCTCTTCCAGTATCCAAGTTCAAGCTTTGCCTGAA